CACACCTTACTTTTGTGTTCTCTGTTTTGCTTGAAGAAATCACTAACTCTGCTAGTCTGGCACTGCAGCCTTGGGGATAAATCTTTGAAATATGTGCCACCCAAACTCATGCAGGTGAGCTTTTACACAAAGTAGCCTATAGACAGAGGCTTTGAAGACATCCACATGTGTGGACAAAATCAGTTTAGTAAGGGTACTTCCCTGCTCTCTGGCTATAATGCACTGGTATTACTGTCTGCTTTGGTTATTATGGCCAGAGTGCATAATACTTGGAAACAAAATTGTAACTTGAGCATGTGCAGTGATTCATTGTGGGCTCTTGTTTACTTGTTAACATGCCTGTGGGACACGGCTGCAGGAGCATGTGCTCCTTCAAAGTACTGCTGGGATGGTACCCTGCTATGCATCCTGTACCACCTCAGCTGGATCAGAGACCACCTCTCCCTGCTGAAGTGGAAACCATCCACAAGAAGTTTGCACCTATTAGGCCAGTCTAGAACAAAATATACTTGTGAGACAAGTTAGGAAAACCTAACCAAGAACCCATGTACTGTTTGGAAAATTCTAATGGCTTTAGTGCAGCTCTGCTGCAGTTCACATTCAAGTCATGTTGGGCAAAATTTTCAAAGCTATCTGACTGCCACGAGAGCACAAACCTCACCAAAGCCAGAAAGTCTAATAACAGGAACAGCTAATAACTCGGTATCTTGCGGAAAAAAACGAGGCTGAGGAAAAGCAGCTCCCACTCTCCTGAATGGCAAAAGAACTTCTGAAAACTTGTGGCAAAACTCGCCATCAGGAAACTGAACTACACATCCAACTACTGCTCTGACGCTCCTTTCTTACTCGTTTTCGGTTGTTTTCTTACAAAGCTTCAAATCGAGAAAATAACTGGGGGCGGGGGGGGGAGGAAGAGAAAACTCTCTGACCGGGCTGGATGTGACCTGGTTCTGTCCTTGCCACCGCCTCCCTGCCTCTCTCCCTCTCTTCAGTGACATCTGCCGGCCTCCCCCGA